TTGATTGAATTTGTAATCATGCATAAAATAATAACATAAACCTCACTTCTATAAAGGTTTTCAATTCAGAACAAAGAATATGTATAATTGTTTGTGATAATATATATAAATATATATATGCTAAGTTTTTTTATTCATTAATTATTTGTAGGTAAATTAAATATAATGAACTATATACAAATGTACCAAAAATATTCATAAACTATGCATAATAAAAATTCAACATAGCACATTGTAATAAATAGAATATGAGTTCAACATATCTGTTGATCAAACTCCTTTTTTATAGTTTATATTATTTTAAGGTTTTATTAGTTTATATAATATATACATGTTCAATTTTTAAAGATGAAGAAATGTATTAAAGATTTAGTAAATCTTTGTTCACATATATAAATTTATATTTGATACATTGACAGTATATAAATTATTTATACTCATTAATAAATGTCATCATCTCATTAATAAATGAACTTCAAACGTAGAGAACTTTTAAAAATAAATATTTATAATTTTAAAAATATTTATTTTTAAATACTTTGAAATTTTCATCTTTCTATATTGATGAGGTGGTACTTTCTGAATACTTGATATTGTATAAAAATTATGTATATGGTAAAAGAATAGCATACAAAATAGCAATTCTTGTATTGCTATAAACTGCATTGGACTTTATAATCATACCAAACCCCATCTATATCCTTATTGGAGGATGACAGTTGAATTTATAACCATAATCAAAGCTATTTAAAGACTTCCATAACAAAAATCCTATCTACGCAATCAATGAAAGCCATTGGCATTGCGCTGTTCCTTTTTCTCCTTTTTTTAACTGGGTGTTTTTTTATTCCTTAATTTTTACTGTTAATCATGATGTTATTATTATTACTATTATTATGTATCACATATTTGGTGATAAATAGGTACAAATATGTAAAAAAAAAAAAAGCATTAAATTTGATGGGGTACTAAGAGGAAAATATAATCTATATAATTATATATCTGTAGACAAAAATGAAACATCATAAATAACTATATAGGGACCACACTGGTTTTATCTTTCTTTTATTTACATAATTGAGCTACATTAATATTCCATTTGTTCCTTGAGTTTTATTCTTCTTATTGCAGCTTGAAGAAACCCCATTCTGAATAGACCTATCACCAAATATGGCCATGCTTAATTAAGAGAAAAAAGAAGAAAAGGGAAAAAGCACATGCAAATCCAAATATAACCTCAATCATACAGCTAAAGGGAACAGCCCATCTTCAGTTTTCCAAAAAACTAAGCAAAGGAAAGAACCACAAAACAATCAACTTGGTTTTGTGGGTCTCCCCCCTTTTCGACTTCGTTTGAAGCATTATTTCATTTGATATGATGACTTGTGGCTCATGTAAAGGAAATTAAAACCATGTATGTTTTAATATCTTTTAAGTTTTTTAGGTTGGAGTAAGGAAAAAACAGCTCGTTCAGTACTTAAGTTGCTTCTATAAATTCCAGTCAAAACACCTTTCCAAGTCTTGGAAATCCATACGATTTTCTTCCTTCCTGTCTACTCTCTCTTAGCTGATTGGGTTTTGTTATTTCTTTTACTAAACAACAACAATAATAAAAGAAGACCCTTAAAACAAGGCTTGTTGTGAACTCTTCTTATCTGATATCTGATATCTGATCGTAGTATCATAGAAGAAAAGAATATAAAAAAGAAAGGAAAAGGCTAAGAATTCTTAAACAAGCTTGACACAAGGAATAAAGTGGAAGGTTAACAGGGTAAGGTTTGGAATGTTGTTGTCTGGTTTTATTAGCTCATGAAGAACCTGCAAAAGGGTTTTTGATCCATTGACTTTGATCTCATTAGGGTTTTATTTTTTTTTTTTTCACTGAACTCTGGGTAAAAATGATTGTTCATCACAGCTTACGAAAATGACTCAAAAAACAAAGTAAGGGAAAATGACACCCAAAACCCCAATCCCATCACAACAAAAGGAAAATCAAAGTAGTTGTTTAGCAGCTTTAGATTGGACTAACAAAGGGATTATATCAGTAATGTTTCGTTTTAAGGAATATAATCCAATTGTCTACCTTTTGGAAAAGAGACGAAAAGCAAAGGGGATTAAGTGTTGAAAACCATGCAAGTGAGAGGCTAACATGAGTAAGCAGAAACAGACAGTTTTCACGTGGGAAGATTCATTTTTTTTTTTCCTTTGTGAAGATGAGTTGGTATTTGGTGAAACCAAATCCAACAAATTTCCATTAAAATACTGAAAGAAGGGATCTGGTTAGATAGGAGTATTCAAGGCTCTAACATGGTATCCTATGCCAAATAAGTAGTGGAGAGAGGTAGAGCTAAAAGACAAGCCGTTTTCTTTTCTTCATTTTTTTTATTATCTGTATGGAAAATAATTCAAATTAAGACGTATACGCTTATCATTGAGTTAAATATTTATATATTTTTTATTTTTATTTTTTGGTAAGAAAGAAAAAAGAAAATAAGGGAATTCCAGTGAATATTGAGAAATGAGTGTCTATCTGCGGTTTTTTTTTTCTCTATTTTTTTTCTATTTGTGTGAAAGATTGGATTTAACTAACATTTAACATGATGATTAAGGCTTTTAAAGAAGTAAGGTGGATTAATCAATAATGAGATTGAAACGTACCATTTGGATCTCAATCCTTGCAAAATGCCAGGGAAGACAATTACTAAGAGAACTAAATTGGTAGATGAATATTAATTGCTAACTCCAATTAATGATATCCAATATTCATGTTATATATAAACTTGTTATAACTCAAAAATTACATCGCATAACAAAATGACACAAAAAATTAAATCTGAAATTAAAAAAAATGGTAAAACAGTTTTTATGTTTCCTTATCACACTTACTAGAAAAAAATAATTATAGAACATTTTGAATAGTGGTGCTTGACAATATTAATTTTTTTTGCTAATAAAAAAGTAATTATCATTATCAATTTGGCAAGAAAATAAAGCAGAAAATCACTATATACATAAATTAAATTTGTTTGGACCTAAGGTAAAACTCTCTATGCTATTTTAGAATATAGTGCATGCAAATTTTGCATTGACTTTTCAAGAAAAGTACTAAATTAATAACAATATTTTTTTATGCTGTAATTTGTCTAAGCTCTACCATATATGCATAAGGTGAATAACAGCATATCCTTTTGTCTATTTTTTTACTATTGGTAGGATCCCAATGATGGGATATTGAATTCCTAACCCCTAGGAGTATGTTTTAATGGCATGCTACTCCAATGCTTCTTTCTTCCTCTATATAATGATATCTTTTTTTTATTTAATTTTGGGAATCAATATAATAATAAGTTGAACATATGCATAGTCAAGAAAGATTCATCCATGTAGTTAAGTTTATAAGGTAAAAAAAAAAATGTTGAGGACATTATCCATTTTTTTACCTTTTCTTTTATCCTAATGAAAACTTCCAATTTTCTTGATAACAATTTTTATTAATTATGAATCTTTTGTTTTTATTAAGGAAAGGAGATTTGGACATGTCTTGTTATAAGCATCACATACATGCATTTATCATTGTGCAAAATATTTATATAATTGTTTTGTAATTTAAACATTAATAGATATAAAAAATATTTATGTATGTATGTCTTTTGTGAGTGTATATATATGTATATATAATGTATATTTTTTGGCATACATGCATGTAGGTCTTAAATAAAAATTTGACATTATTAATTTTTTTTTATAATTGAGAGAAGAGATTTGAATCTTACTCTTAAGTCAGAAAGATTATGTGTTAATCAATAAGTTAAATACTTGGGTGTAATTTGACATTATTAATTAAGTATTAGGTTGTGAATTTTGAAAATAAAAAATGTAAGAATAAAAAAAGGTTTAAGGGTAGTTAGACTCGTATTACGTGAAAGGGAAATAATAAAAAGAGACATAAGATATCTGGAAAGTTAAGGAGTGTAATATACACGCTCCTTGAAAGAGCGTGGGTGAGTACGGAAGACATAGTAGTTACGACCTTTTGTCTTCAGCGTAAGTTTTACATTCCACCAGTTGAAATCCGCTAAAGTGAAAAAAAAAAAAAAAAACAGAAGTTGGGTCTTATGGCTAGCGTCTGATCTCAAAATGTTGGTTGCATAAAACTCTGCCACGTGGCAATTCAAGGACAATTTTGTACGGTTGTTGAAATAGGTCGGGTATTGATCTCCCAAACTAGTTAAAAAGGAATAAAATTTATTTAAAAGGAGTAGAAATATATATATATCTCTCTCATATTCAATTCATACTTCCATTTTATTAATTTATATACTTTAAAGAAATTATTGGGAGATTAAAATTCAACATTTAATCATAAACATATTGATTAATTGATAAAATTGTTCATCTTAATAAGTAGGTGTTTATCTTTCAAAAAAAAAAAACAATAATAAGTGGTGTTGGTAAGAAAAGGTAAGAAATAAATAAATAAATAAATAAAATAGGGAAAGTAAGATTCTTAACCCATAGACAGATCCAAAAAGAGTAAACTACATAAAGCATAGTCTTAATAACATGTTGCCGTAAAAAGCCAAAGCAAAATCTTCCTCCCCACAGCTAAAAGAAATAAGGTAAAAGCCTAAGAAGCAAGTCTCACCTAAAGTCCCCAAACCCAACTCAGCAACAAGACCAGCTTAAACAGAGTTTTTCACACAAAAAGATATGCAAATGCAATAGTACTATTCCATGTGATGTTGTCAAAAAAAAAAAAAAGCCTTCCAACTCATTTTTCCTATCAAAGATAACAAACAGTAACTCTTCATAGAAGAATATAAAAGAATCCAACACCCCTCCTTCCTCTTCCCCAACCTTTGTCTTACCTTCCCTTACACGTCTTCTTTTTCCTTCCCTTGGCCTTGGCCACCCATTATCATTTAAACAGAACAAGAAAATCCCATTTTTCCTAGCTTCATTTCTGGTTCTGGGGTTGTTTCTTTTTTCCTTCTTTAGCAATGTCTGCAGATCTCGAATTGTTCCAGGATTTGACCAAAATAAAACTACCCCAACTCAAGATTCAATCTTCCAATGGGATTGGTGCCGTAATTCAACAAGAAAGCAACAATCAAGACAGCGGCAATGAGTGTACGACGCCAACCTCGGAAGAAAGCAAGATCCCAGCTGTTCTGAAATGTCCACCAGCACCAAAGAAACCTAAGAGGAGAACTGTTTCATGCAAAAGAAAGCTGTCTGATCAGCTTCAGTTCTTCGAGATCGTTAACAGGGAAGAAGTTGAGGCGTATCTCAAAGCTGGTTTTGGTAGCTCAAAGAGAAGGTGCCCATGTACATTAAAATACACCAGCTTTTTCTAACTTTTATCATTTTTGCCGGTGTTTCATTATTATTATTTTTTTCTTTTGTATATTGAATTGAAATTACACGCCAATCTGCCACTATGATTCGAAAGCTTATATAAGTCTGTAACTTGCAGACAGTACTTTTGGATCTCGATCCTTAAGTGTCTTTCCCTTTCTTTTGTTTGAATGAATTGTTTTCGATATCGTCTTTTTCTTTCCTTTTCTTTTGAATTTGAATCCAACCTCTCAAGGTTTGTTTCTATTTCCCGCTAACGTACCTGTGAATTCCAGAAACATTTCCGCCATGGGTTTCACGATTGAAAAGAGAAAGGAATAGGATCCAAAACTTGTTCTTGAAAGTATGACGTTTCTGAATAGGTTAGATGAGGTGGGTTGGTTGTTCAAGTTTGAAAAACAAACCCAGCAAGATTTAAATTAGGCTTCTAATAAATTATTACTATTATTCTTATTATATTCCTCGTTGGTTAAAAATGGTTGATTCGTGTTTTGGGTGTTGTTTGTTTGACATGTGACAAACTTTGAGTGATTGACACGGCTTTGGGATCTGCTAAGACGTAAGATTTTAACTTCTCGGAGATGATTTTCCTCGAGAAAGTGAGAGAAAGTGAAGGAGAAAGAGAGAGAAAGTGAGAATGGTCCAATGTGCTAATGTCATATGCAATTGTTTTGTCCCTTGTGATAAAAAAAAACGCATTGATTTCTTGTTTGCCACCAAAATTTCTGCCTTCGTAGGATTTTACTGACAAATATACAAAGTACTGCTGAGTCACTACTTGTCAACCATCAATTTCCAAATGTTCTTAAAAAGCAACAAATTAATTTTCTAATTACCATGGATCTGTTTTTTTCTCTCCTTTCTCATTAATTATAAATAGTTTATTTTATTTACCCAAGATAAACTCAAATCTGATTTTTCTAATATATACACAATTTTTAATTCATTTTTTGTTCAAAGACAAGGAGGGAAAGCATCATCATTCAAATCATATTTTTATGGGAAAGGCCTTTAAAATGATTTTTTTGGTGATATTTTACAAAAGGATACTCTAGAGGTATCTATAGATCGGATCAGGCAGGGTTGAGGTCAAGCTTGATTGATGTCTCTAAAAATAAAGTTTGAGTTTAAACTCAGCTCAATTTAAATTAAATTTATTATTGAAATATTAAAATATATTGAATTAAAATTAAATACATTTTTTATTGGTAAAATGATATCTCGGACTGAGTTGGACCAAGTTAAAAAAACCCTATCCTGATCCAACTTGAGTCGAGCTTGATGAGCTGTAAGTCTAGAATACTCCAATAGTTTAGTGTGAAAATTTTAATTTGAAGATGTAATGTCCAACTTTTGATAAAACAATCATATCATGTTATGTGATATATATAAATCTAATGAGTTCTTACATTTTTTTTTACAAAAATAAAATCTTCACTAATTTCTTTCCTTTGTTGTATATAAAAGTTAATTATCAATTCAAGCTTGAGAATTTAAATTAAAATCTAAAATTCTAATAACTTGGATATCCCCACAAGCAGAGATGGACCTAAGAATTTTTTAGAGTGGTGTTATATTTAAATTTTTTTTTTCTTGATCTAGGATTTGTTAGGAGAGTCTTTAGATCAAATTTAGCACGACTTTATTTAAAAGAATATTGTTGAGTATTATCATTAGTAAAATTTTATTATTGTTGTTTGGGATTTGAGTCTTATGAGACAATTTCTTTTCTTTTAAAATATCTTTTCATAGCTTATTTATTTAAAATTATAAAAGTGGTTAAAAATTATTATTTATTAGTATAAATTAAAATATCAAAATTAAATAAAATATGATTTTACATAACAATTATCAAGTTTAGTAACTAACAATATGATAAATTTCTATTCATTTATCAAAACTAAATATAAGTATTCACTAATCACGTAAAGTTAAGTACACAAATCAAATAATCAAATAATATATCTACAAAATAAATAAAAAAATACTCAAATTTCAAGATATTATTTGACATGTAATACTATTTTTTATTAGCTGGATTATAATTATGAACTGAAATTATCAAACTAATCAAAAAATATTTTGACATGAAGTATGTAAAAACTTAATTTTGGTTGAAGATTACTTACAATTGAAACCTAGATGAGTTGTTTCAAAAAAATGAAAAGCATAGTGAAGGACTAAGAAGGGGAAGGATTTGAATTTTTAGATGGAGAGAGCAGTTTAGGTTTTAACATTTTTAATAAAATCTTAAATTATAGAAGAATTTTTTTTTTGTCTTTCCTTATAATATGTAAATATTAATACATAAATTAGTTTCTGATAAATCACTTTTACTTGGAGTTTTTGACTCCACTTCCTATAAAATTATAAAAAAAATAATGAATTCATTAGCATATTACCTACCTTCAATCTTAAATAAATTGCATAAAAATTAAAATATTTTAAGAAGTGAGTGGTGCCATGTGACACCACTCCTTCCAACATGGGTCCACCCATGCCCACAAGGGGTCTTCATCTGCATCCTTATACCTTATCATATGACTCCATGTAAACATAAAAATACATAGATAAATCATAAATCAATTGCCATGTTTTATTATATTAATTTGGATTTAAAAGTCACCAACATGGATAGTGATCAAATTCTAAATAAAAGTTTTAAATTAGGGAGCCAAAATTATTTAAGAAGAAAATGGGTTTGTATTTTATGTATTTTTTAGATAAACAACTCACTCAAGAATACACTTAAATCATTTTGCATTAAAAAATAAATCAATTATATTTTTTTTGTCCAAAGAAAAATCAATCAAGCAATTTATGGGACCAACTAGTACAATTAGAAAATTATGTCCAACACTTTATTTTCTTATTTGTAGTAAAATACTTGCCACAATTTAATTATATACTAGCTTCTTGGTTGTAAACTTTGTCATTATGTAAATAATGCAAATATCAATATGATGATTCAATGTAGGTAAACAAGCATGACTAAGATCGATGCTTTAAATTTTATATAATTGAAGAAAATCAATGAATAGTAGGTCTCTTTGCTAATTCAATGTGGAAAATGCTAATTAAATGAGGTTACAGTATCTAATTTCTCAAGAAAGAAAAACATAATGTTATTTTAAAAATTCAAAAAAATCTTTATTCATTTATTACGTTTAATCAAATCTATATATTTTTATTTTAAGTCAAATAAGTTTTTATATTTAATGGTTGATTAATTATTATTAATCAAAATATCATTTATCATTTTACATAACATAGCGCTAACATGCCATAATGATGATGACGTGACATGATGATTTTACCATCCACGTCATCATCTTATAGGCAACAAATGATAAATAATATTTTGACTAATGACCCAGTCAACTATTAATTGTAAAAACTGATTTGATTCAAAATAAAAATACATAAAATTGATTGAATATAATAAAAAATAAAAAAATATTTAAATTTTCTTAAATAATTTAAGAGTTTTTCAAGTATTATAAGAGAAAAACCTCTAAATATTCTAAATACTGATACGTTAGCAACAAAAACTATGGCTTTGAAAGTCAAAAACAATTTGAAAATTTACTTTCAAACTAAAAGAAAATTATGTTATCCATGAAATCAACAGGTTTGAAAGCCGCCATGAAAAGACCACCAGCTTCAACGAGATGAAATTAATGTTTCAGATATACAATTAACTATATGTTTTTCTGCAATTGTACGGGAAACTAAAATGTGGTCCTCAATTGGTTTTTTCCCCCTTCAACTTAGATTCTCAAGCTTATCTCTCAGTCCCATTTTGATTTAATCAAAGCTAATTCATACCATTGCCACTACCACTATATTGTATATTCCTTTTGTGGCAAAAAAAGGAAACACTCAATCTTTTAAAATTAATACTCCAAATGAAGTTTTTAATTTGAATCCTAATATTTGGATCAAATAAAATAATTGTTAATTAACTTTTTATAAAATAATTATTTTGATGTTTAACCAATATATATATAAATATAGAAGATCAGAAATATTCTTTTCTTGTACTTCATTTTTCTTTTTTCTTTTTCTCATTAAATAAATTATTTTATGTGCAGGTAAGGAAGACAAAAGCAGTGGTATTGAATTGATGAAGCCTGGGGTCCATGTTGGAGTAAGAGATACACAATCTGTGTAATAATGGCAGCAGAAATAATTATTATAAAAAGTATATATAATACTAAATACATAGAATGTACACGTACGGGCCCCTTTGCAGTGTATGAAAATAATGAAATAATATTATACTGTCTGAAAGATCTGATGATTACGAAAATGACTTCTCTACGTGCATAATTTTGGTATCCTCTTCTTTCTTTTTCACATTAAATTCCGAGTAAAATCATTATATATCTTTGAAAATTAAATTCCTTATGGCTAAGATGAATAAATTGTCAGTCACTAATTGAGTCAACATGATTTCCATTTTTATTAGTCTATCTTATTTTAAATTTTCACAATTTAATGGGGAAGTCAAAGTAAAATTAGACTATAATGAAGAAAATTAGTCTATTAATCTCATGAATCAAGTTTACATTAAGAATTAATAACAAGGAAAAAGGTGGGTTGGGAAGAGAGCTTAGAACATAAGCGATTCTTAGCATCCTAATTTTGACTGAATAAAGAAGAGATGAGACCCAGTGTTAATTAAGGTATAAAGGTGGTAAACATTTGATGGAAAGAGAATTGTTACTTTTACATATGCGGCTATTTAAAGCACAAGAATAAACACATCTATATATACTTAGGTTTGCAATGACATGTTCAATTTGATTTTTAATAATATTTTTCAAATATGTAGTTGAGGTTGGAGAATAATAATAAAATAAAGTTTATGATAAGGTTGAGGTCCATTTTGCTGGGAGTCCAAGATTAGGGCCGAATAAAATGAACACAATGTCTTAAGCATTGTACGGGTCCACTTCCCCCCTGAAGGAAAAATCCTTTTCGAGACCTGAAATTGTCAGATACAACACTAATTTTGGGTTTCCATCAATAGCATTTTATAGCCAATCATTATATAGGTTTTTCTTTTAATTATATATGCGAGGTGCAAGAGGGAGCTCTAGTCACATGTTAGACCCAATACTTCTAAACGTATAATAATATATCAAGCAAAATATATTAATTTTTAAATTTTAATTAAAATTATATGAAAATATATTAATTTTTAAAATATATATTTCGTTTTAAAAAATTATTTTTCTTAAGATACGTAAGTTCAACTATTAGTGAATTGTTAATATTTTTATCAATTTATTGATTTGGTAAGAATAAAAAAATAATTTTATTTTTAATTAATTTTTATAGTTATAATTATATAATTTTATTGTTTTTATTTTTTATTAATTTTTGTAAAAAGCTCCTTATTGGGGAGCACCAGGGCTCTCATTTTTTGAGGAGTTGGGTTTTTCTTTTTTTTTTAAATAATAATAATTTATATTTTAATTTTTTATTATTTCTGTTCAAGGTGTTTGTAGTTTTAAGATAAAATATCTATTTTAAAAATTAATAGACATTCATATAATTTCGATTAAAACTTAAACGAATCAGAGTATTTTACTTTAATAAATTCAATACGTTAACAATATTAGATCTATTATAAAATATTATTATTTTAATAAATAAAAATAAATGTAAAACATTTTATATGTTGATCATTCGTATAGTAAATACATCGATAAAACTAATTTTCAACTCAAGTACCTATCTTGAAATTTTTCTAAAATTTCTTATAAAACCTTGATAATTTTTTATTTAAACGACATTCGTGTCCCATCTTGGATCTTTCTACTCGGCAAGTGAAGACTCTTGCGGTACCGACGTTACAAAATAGATTATATGGTTAGGGTTACTAGCTAGTAGGTTTTCTCATGTGATTGATAATACGCATAGGAAAAATGGATTATGGTAGAGACGAGTGGAAGAGAGTCTCTCTCTTGAGAAAAAGTAATTTATTTTTTGGTTTTTTTACCTCGTGATTAAACATTACAAATTATTAATGAGGTGTCACTTACATTAATTATAAACCACATAAATATATAATGCCACATTTTAGGCTTACGATATTAATTTAACGTGAATTTTGTGCTAAAAAGATATGCAATGTGATTCTCAAATTTTATCTGCGTTTCAAATGTCTAACATTGATAAGAAAATCTAATAACATGTCATGGATCAATTAAAACATGCCATATAGTATTTGGGTATTTAGTTTATTGAGTGGTATATGATATTTTTATTCAAAAAGTAAAATTTGAATTTTTTTAATTTAATTTTATAAAAAAAACGACATGTGATAAAATCAAAATCACATCACTTTCCATATCTAGAATTAGGATGAACTTATGGTGTCATCTTATTTGTTAAAAAATTTGAAATTTAAATTTTTAAAAAATGAAAACAAAAAATTAAAACCATTTTCTTTCTTCCCTACTCTCTCTTTTCGCCATCATGCTTTAATAGTTTAATTTAAGCCTGAATCAGACCAATATTTGAGTGCATGTGGCTAGTCGAGATCCAATCCAACATCGATAAGCCTTGTTTGTTTCAAGTGAAAAACGACTGTTTTCATATTGTTTTTTGAGCTAAACAAGTTGAATTTCCAGATCTAGTTTCAAAGCAGTTGGTGCGACGTGGAGAGGAGTGTGAAAGAAGAGGCGGGAGAAGACGAAAGGAAAATTGTTTTTCCTTTTAAAAAAATTTTAGTTTTTGTTTCTCAAACAAAAAAAATAAATAAATTGTGTTGTACTTGTTCAAAAATAAAAAAGTATTTTCTAAATTTTTTAATACTTTTCAAAAAATGAATTTTAAAATTTTGAGAAAGAGAAGATGAAATTTTTTTATTTTTCCATCTTATTTCCAAAAAATAAAAATTTTTCTGTAAAATTTTTTGATTTTTTTTAAATTTTCAAAAAAAAATCCAATTTGTTATTTAAAAAATAAAAAATTTAAAATCTTTAACCAATGAGATTATTTCTTCTATCTACCTTAACCATCAATCCAATAAATGACGTGACGTTTATTTAAATACATGACACATTGTAAATGGTCTATTATATCATATCGTTTTCATAGTATGAAATGTTATGACATATTAACAGACGGATTGAAAGCTTAAGTACCACATCGAACATGTTTTTTAATACATATATCATGTTAGGTATTTCCTCAATTTTTTGCATAATTATTGAAGGGATAATACAATACCATACGCCCTAAAAAATTTTGGGCTGAAATTGTGTGGAAGGGCAGTAAATTTGTTTTAACTTCAAAGGAAAAAAATGTTGTGTGAGTTATTTGGATTAAAATCAAGCATATTAATCAAGTGAGGAAACAAATAGTGTGTTAAATCTTATCATAAAAATATTATTCACGATATAAAGAAAATGAAATCATACAAAAAATCAAATTCACTTAAAAAAAGTCTAAAATTTGAAAAAAAATAATGTTAAAATTGTATTATAATTAACAAATAAATAAACTGATATGTTTTTTTTTTTTCCTTTAGTCACGTATGCCGGCAGCGTCGCCATTACGTATTCCAATCTTTATTGCCGAAAGAGAAAGACAAAAGAGAAGAAATGGGAAAGAAACTGAGAAAAGGTAAATCCAGAAAAGGTGAAAATGGAAGCAAAACCCCAGCATTTTGTACTTGGGAACAGAATCCTTTTGTCTTTCAGGACAAAGCATTTGTGCCATTGTCTGAAACAGGAATCCAATTTCATGGAATTCGAGGTGTTATTCCTAGGCTTTGTACTCGTGTTCTTTTGGGCCTCTCGTAACAAGTGCTAGAAGAAGAGAAAAAAATGGCAGAAATTGTTTGGAATTTGGCCAGATTAACATCATAACTAATCACTGGAGACGAAGGGTGAGGAGTATATTTGAAAAATCTATGATGCCCTCCATCTCTATAAGTACGTTAATTGTAATTTATTCATAAGAAATGTGATTATTGAAAAAATAATATTATAATATCTGATATATATTAAAAAGTATTGATTAAAATATCAGAAAAATAATATTGTAATGTTTAGTTTATTAATTTTGATTTTAAACTTATGTTAGCGTTAGTAGTTTAGAACTAAAAGGTTTTTTGTAATGGACTATGCAAATTGTCTTAAAAACTGATGAGCATAGGTTTATTGGGTTTTGTAAGGAGAATACCGTGAAGATACTCTTTAAAATATATTAAGTAGTATTTTCTTTCAATATCTTGAAAATCATCACACCAGCTATCAATTGTTATATTTATTAGAAGAATATTGTTATAAATAATATCTAAAAGGTCTCAAAGACACTCGTTGGCAAAAATCCATGTTTATTTTCAAAAGCTTCTCTCTTTTGGTTTTTTTGTTTTTGGCATGAGTGCTCTAAAGATATTTGTTAAATTACCAATTATTTCTTTCAAGAACATATTTCAATCCAAGTATTTGTCATAGATGGAAAATTCTTTTATTTGATCACTATTTTCAAGATGAATTTAATGTTCTTTTCCCCCTTTTCTCGCATTTTAAACAAATTTTAAATAAAATTATGATTTGTTTGCATAAGAGGAGCCTGAGAAGGAAAGATGGAAACCCTAACCCATTGCTAAACAATCTTAAATCACCTAAATGCCCCAAGCCCTCAAAACTGCCATCTAACGTATAAGTTAGTTTTCTAAGTTAGTTTTCTTGGGTTCTTGTATATTTTATATATTCAATGTGTCACAACCAAATAGTTCAAACTAACTCAGGCCCCACAAATAGGCCAAATAGTCCAAACAAACTAGCAAATTAGATAACAGATCAATCTGAAGGCCTAACTTGCGACATAGGGATAAAAATGTTCACATATCCTTAAAAATGTCTAATTTGATTTGAACTATTGAATTTGTTAATATATATCTCCATTTAAATATAAATATATTAGATTAAATTAGGATTTGGATTTAATTTGAATATTATCTCTTCAAATTAAATTTCTTATCATATGTTATCTCTATCTTGTAACTTAATCTTATCAAACCAAGAGGAGCCATCTGCTTATAAATAGGCCTCTTCTTCTTATTTGTAACACATATAAGAGAATTAGCAAAACATTTCATTTCTCTAAATAGCTATCTCTCTTCTTCTTTCTTTAGCTTTCTTTTTTGTT